TTAAATTTAGCAGTGAACAGGTAGGTGTATTGATACCTAATCAGAGAAGTGAGAAAAATAAAACTATAAATTTGGTTGAAGGTAATTGTAGAATAACAATAACCAAGCTCCCAAAAAGTTTAGAAGAAGAGATTGTTAGAGAGAAAGCAAAACAAATTTTGCAAAATAGATATGGGTTTAGTAAAAATCAAGTAAATACCTTATTCACAATCTTGAAAAATGAAAGTAAATACAGTGTAACTACCTCAGATAAAAACGTAAATATTGTAATCACCAATCAACTCTCTAAAGGAATGGAGAGAGAAACAATTGGGAATATGGTGCAACAGATTTTACAGAATAAACTTAGTATTAGGGATGTAAGAGCTAAAGCTTATACCTTAGCCCTATTAGCAAAAAATGCTAATGCTAGCTCATCACGTCTCACTCGTCTTTGTAGAGAATTAAGGAACCTTAATGCATCACTTGAGATAATTAAGATTACAAAATTTCCAGATATTACAGAAGATATCAACAAAATTCAGAGTGTCAATTGAAAAAAAGCTGAAGCTAAACATATTGATTATCCAGATGAATTTACATTAGAATCAGTTAAAGAAAGATTAGATGCATATGATATTAAAACTTTACCTGATTGTTAGGCTCTTGCTGATGTTATGTTGATGCTTTGTATTCATTCTGCTGAACTTAAAATTTTACGCATTATAGATGCTGGAGTGACAGGATATACGAAGAATCGAGATTAACCAGATATTCCTAGAAAATTTAGATTGATGGAAAAGAATCAAGAACAAGCCAAAGAACTACTCACTTGGATTCAGCGTGCTATATCATCTGGACGAATGGGTAATCTAGGTAAGCCAGGAGTTAAATGGTTCAATAAATTCTTAAAAGATTATAATTTAATTCCTAAATATTTACGTAAATTAGAAGCAGTTTACAGTACAGTAGCATACAAGGCTAAGAATATGGCCCACGTTTATACAATTGCTGGAGAATGTCTACGTCATTCATCTGATAATCATACTTCTCCTGTGCAAAATTATGTTGTAGTCAATTATAGAAAAAGAGGAGTTTTTTATGAGCAAGCAAGATGATTTCATATCTATGATCAAGATTAATTGCGCTTCTTCACTTTTACCATATCTATAGTAAAATCTTCATTATTATAAAAGGATTCAGAGCTGGGCCCAGATTTAGATTCAGACGAGGACTCAGATGTGGTATCGTTAAAAATTGTTTTTTTTCTTTTAGCCTCAGATAGTGTACGATTTCTCTGAGAAATATCTGGGTTTGCTATCGAGTTTATAATATCCTGCTGAATCTCGGGTTTCACTATCTCCAGTAATTGGCAGAGAGAAATCTGGATTTTTTTACCCGATACTTGCTTAACAATATCAGATACCACTTTATCGGTAATGTTGGGTAAACTTTTATCTTTTTTGAAACCCAATTTTTTCGCAATCTCATAAGTGATAATTGGACATTCTGAATATGAATCAATCACATTCTGTTGCTTTAGCACTAATTCAATATTATTATTTTCAGTCATTGTCTATGTTAAATTATTTATTAATACGCAATAAAAAAATACAGTATTAAATATATTTAATATTAACATTTTCATAAATACCTTGTCGAAGGAAAAATCCCAGTAAAAGCGTTAATAGATACAACATCTAAATCTAATACTATTAGCAGATGCTTGTTTGATAAGCTTAAAGAAGATTATGGAATACGTCCTACCTGCGATCTTGCTGAGAATCTCTATAGAGATGTAATAGGTGAAATAAAATGCTTAGATTTACAATTCCGCTATAAAGGAAAGTGGCGAAGCTTAGATGGCACTGAAGTAATAGACTTTCAAATTCGCAAAAATCCATCGTTCGATTTGGTCCTGGGACAAGAATGGTTAAGGATGCGTGAAGCAAAAATTATCTTTGGGTTTTCTCCCAAAACTTATAAACACCACGATAAAATTGTAATAGATGATATGAGTATCCCATTAATCGAGGATAGCAATAAAGCCAGCTCTAGTAAAAATAACCTATTTGATTCTTCTGATTCTGAAACAGAAACCAATTCATCTGACTTCAATTCTCACAATCGTCCTCGAAAGAAGAAATGCAAGTCTAGCCATTTTATGAATACCTCCAACTTGAGATCTAAACCCGATCTAATTTTGGAGGAGTTCGCAAATATGCTAACCGCACTTAACCATAAGCTAATTTTTTTTCTTAAGGCCAGTTTTTTCTAGGGACAACTTTTATCTGTACCAGTTTTATCAGGAATTCATGTCAAAGATTCTATTGTTTGCCCATTCTGTACCATTTTAGATAGCTTATTCCGATAATAAAAGGCTTTAGCATGGCATTTATCCGCATGTAAATTACATAAGCTATACTTAGAAGCGGTCGGTTTGCCACTCTAAACAGGGGACGTATTGACGCCTTTTCCAATAAATAGCATATCCTTCTTGCCAATAGCAAGGCCGACCACAGATCTTTCCCTCATTAGTAAGATACTGACAAATATAAGTTCCTGTCATCAATTATTATTTGTCGAAACTTACTTGATTCCGTATAATATTATCTCAGGTAAAAATATTCAATAATTATTTTCGATTTAAACTTTTTTATCAGGGTAATATATTATAAAAATAACCCGACTTTGCCTACCATGGATACCCAAAATTTTCAAAAAAATATTGATCATGTGCCAGCAATAGCAGACGCACCACCTTATCGACCAGAAAGCCCAGAAAACTCAGAACATTTCGAGCCAGAGCTAAAGAAAGAATACAAGCCGGGATATGAGAATGAAGGGAATGGGGCCATCTACCACCAGGGGGCCAAAGCTGAGAGCATTGCTGAATATCTATATAAAATCCGAGATGATAGTAAAGAGCCGAGACAATTTCTTGGTACAGATTCTAAGGATGTGATAGAAAAAATCTTTGCAGATCGACAGGATCATTCACTACATGAAATTATTGATGGTGATGACCCACTTCGTCTCTTTATCGATTTTGATTTATCTAGAGAAAGGTTTGATAAAATTAAACCCAAGCTTACAGTTAAAGAAGTACGGAATTTACTTTGTCGTGCCTTTAAAGAAGTGTGTCTAGAAATATATCCAGATTGGGATCGCAAAACACTAACTATTG